AAGGAAATGTTTTGAGTTGACCCAAAACAAAATTTTGGGGGCATTTATTTTGCTTCCCCATTAAAAGAAATTCTGTTTCAGTTCAATCTGAAAACCACCAATGCCAAAAAATCCCGTGTGCTGAGCTCTACCTGGTACCAGCCACAGACAGCTGTGCTGTGAGCTCTGACAAGCAGGTATAAAATTATAAGGGAGGAGAGCAAAAGGCCTCCTTGACCATCACAGCGGATAGAAAGGGCTTATTCACAAGGCACAGAATCTGGCTCATGTGGCACCAGGTGTAACTTGGTGGAGGAGGGGTCTTTTTCCCCTCTCCCTTTAATATTTAGCTAGAAAATTTTAGACCCCAAACAAAACCTCACCTCTCCTGTGCACTTCCTTCCCCTAGCAACAAATAAAAGGTCTTTTGGAAAGGTAAATGCAAAATCTTGACTGCCCATTACTGGCAAGAAACACCTTCCCAAATTCATTGCTCTTGTATTTATTTCACCCTCATGATGGGCACTTCATTGCCTCCTCTGCTATTTCCCCTTCTAATTCACCTGGGAGGCAGGCCAGAGGCTTGTTCCCATTATACAGATGGAAAACTGAGGCAACGTGATACACCCAAGGCTGCACAGGAAGCCAGTGCGAGAAAGGACTAGGAGCCAGAAGTAGGAGTGAGCAAGTGCCCTAATTGCAGAATTGCAATGCCAGTGCCCATCTCCACCTACCACTCATTCAAAGCATTTGTCCCCACCAGTGCTCCTCTGTCTATGTGCTCCGGCGTCTCAGGGCAGAAAGCTGCGGTCTGAACAGACGCACAGCACGGACCGGACCAGCTCCGATGAGATAACATGGCTGTAAGAAGGTCTTGGCTTGTGTTCCCGGGCTTGTCTTCACTGGAAAAAAAAGAAAGGACTGCATTTTTTTTTTTTATTATTATTATCTCGGAGTACTGAGTACTTAGGAGCAGAGATAAACTACACAGCATTTTTTTAGCAGCAAGGATAAGCCTTCAGCTAAGGCCCCTTGAGTGCATCCTCTAAAAGGGATCAATGTGGTCCCGAAGCATGCAGTCAGGACTCCTGGGTTCACTGCCCAGCTCCGTCAAGGTGTGGGATGTACCGTCCCCTGAGCACGACACAACGCGCTCCAGGCCTGAGCTACAGACTTTTCCCCTGCGTTTGTTTTTCCCAGCACCAGGCTCAGAAACTAGGAACAGGGAGAGATCTGCAGGGCTGCCAGCTGCCGCTTGCTGGCAAAGATACGGATTTAAACCAGCCCGAGGAGCTGACGTACTTTCTTTGGTTGTCATGCTTCATTTCACTGATGCCCAAATATCAAACTCCGGTCTTTTTTTTTCCTGGAGCTTGAATCAAAGCCTGAATCTGGAGCTTGAATCAAATCTGCATTGATTGTTGCCTTTCAGAAAATGTGAAAAGGTGGCACCTTTTTGGGCTAATATCTCCTCCCTCCCATCCCCCAATCAATATTCCCAGCACTTCAGGAGCTCTTGTGTTTCGTGCAATATTTTAGTCATGGTGTATTGTAATACATGACTTTGTGGGTAGATCACGTAACAGAGAGACTTTTGTCCTACCCACTCAAATTATGATCAACTCTGATAACATATTCTTATATATATATATATACACCAGTCGACGCTCCATTTTTTGGTCTCTGATAATTGTCACCGCCGGCATGCGGAGTTCTTGCCAGGGTCACAAGATTCATTACGCAGTATCACAACAGTTTCCTTCCAAGCTAATTTGACAACGTTAATCAAAGGACAATCCAAGCAAGATCCTAAAGATCAGCAGCCAGGCTGAGTCTCCAAAGGTTGAGCTAATTACAGCCGACCTGCTGCGATGTCAGGCTTTCTTTCAAAACCATCATTATCCCTAATTAGCAGAAGGATGGTCTAATCCAGCGTCCATCTGCACAACCATGATATTTTGATAGTGGTATTCATTAAAAATAACTACTTTGGCAGAAAAATAAGCAGTACTTGGCCATAATCTGGAATGAAAAAACATGAAGACTGCAAACAGCAGAGAACTTGCAGGCTGGAGTCGTCGCATCCGCTTTTATACCAGCAGTCAAAGCACTTGCCAGGTGTAGTGTCCCGAGATGGAGAAACAGAATGAGTCAATTCTGCAGAAGAATAGAAAGGGAAAGCTCAAGGCTCATTTATACCACAGGCCTGTTGTATTACACTTGATGTTATACCACTGACTTCTGATATTGCACTGATGTTATAGCACAGACCTGCGATACTGCACTGATGGTGCAAAAGGGGTGTCACTGTAGCCAACTCTAATAATAATGAGCTACGCCTCCAAAAATGAAAAAAAAATAATAATTTGGGGGTTTTTGTTTGTTTTGATTTTTTAACAAACTACAGCTTTGGGGATCCTTTTGATTCTTTAGGAAGTTCATGGGCTTTGGGGAATATCCCACTTTCCAAAACCAGCAAACACTCCCTCTGACTGGTGACAATGAAGTGCATGAAGTGAAGACGCTACCTTTTCCATCAGGCAGGAAAGACCTTCCTAGCAGACCCTCCCTGAGCCCTAGGAAGGGGGACAGAGTCCCTCCTGTTAACCCCACTGGCCTAACACCTGGGTGGCAGGGTAAAGGGCACGAGGTTGCTCCCGAACGAGGCTGAAGACAGAAAGTAAAGGCATCCTGTGTTAACCCACACCCATCCACCCACCTGCAGACCTGATGCATTGTTGGAAGGGTCAGAGGATTAGCAGACAAGGTTCTTTGGGTGAATCTGATATCTTTTATTAGACCAACTTACATAGTTGGAAAAAAATGTTAAGCAAGCTTTTGGGTTCGAAAACTCTCCGTCAGGCGGAGGAAGTCTCTGCAGTTGGTACGTGGTCTCCCTGGATGGAATGAAAAGTAAAGACGCCAGAAGCTGGGCTGGTATGCATGCAAGACAGGCAGGCAGTGAAGATGTAAAGAGGATTAGCAGTGCATATTGACACAAACTGCCTACGGAGAGGCCAGCAACTAGGTCACAGGGAATACTTCTGCGTTATTCTGTCTATTGGCAGCAAGAGGTGACGCTGCCCCAACAGAGCTCTAGCGGCCAGGCAACATGGCACAACCCTGCACTGGTGAAGAGATGGATGAATGCAGAGATGCTCCGGGCCGGTCCTACCATGGCCAGGAGCTGAACCAGACAACCATTCAATCCTTCTCTTTCTCCAGATGTGGTGACAGAAACACTTGCAACGGTTTTCACAAAAGCAAAACCCCGAGATGCATACATCCATTAAAAACCTTTCCCCCTGCATCCCATGGTGTGCTCTGAAGCCGAGCGTGACATCCAAATAAAGTATGTGAGCTCCTCGAGCTGGTTTAAATTAGTCTAATTCTGCCCAAATCAATAGACCACTGCTGATTTATACCAGCTGACAAAAACCCAAATTAAACTAAGGGTGTACAGGGTCCATCCTTAATTAATGGTCTATGGAGTGAGGACTCTCTCATTTAAATAAAAACCTTCTGTTATAGGTATATTTTTTACCTATTTATTATCCTTATTGTCAGTTATTTATATTGCCGCAGCACCTCGAACCTTATGGGTGTCACATGTTGCACTGAATTCTTGTTAAGTTATCCAAGATACAGAGCTGATGTTATAGCACCAATTATGGTATTTTCATACTGGAATTAGGTTTGGGGTTGGGTTTTTTAAAGCATTTTCTCTCTCTCTCTCTTTCTGTTCTCACTTTTGCTTCAAACAAGAAGGTGTATAGAACAACAGCCTTGCAGGCATAGAAATCATCTCCCCATGCTGGATGATGCATTGTGGCAATAAGGGACCAGTTTACCTGAAAGGAAGGAACTGATAGCGAGCTGGATTGGTCTGAGCGCTGCACATAAAAAAAAAAACCCAACCTGGCTGAAGGCATAAGTTGAAAAACAATGATATGCTTTGCAACATACCCCTTCAAAATCCCGTAATGATTCATAATGACCCATCCAACTAAAAACAGGAACCCTGGTGACCTCCCTGTCATCTTTTAACATCCTGCTAACGAGCTTAAAAGCACTGGTAAGGAGGAGAGTGTAGCCACAGCCAGCTTGTAGAGGGGGGAAAGGATTTGGATTTTAAGAGAACATCTGTTCTTGCAGAAGGTAAGTGTTTCCCTTACTTCTTAATATCCAGCCTACAGAGCTTTGAGGACATGAAATTGGGGGAAGGCAAATACCTTTCAATAGTGCAATGTCTAAATTGAATCTGGGGGTAGAAGGGAGGGAAATCAACTGATCACCTGAATTTGGCTAACCGTCCAAGGAGATCGTCTGATATGTTTGCTTGGTGTTAGCGGTCCTGGAACGGACCTGCCATCCAGGCAAAGCAAAACTCGGGAAAACAAAGAAAGCATCAATATGTCTTGGGACCAGTATTGATAAGATATTCTCAAGGGTGGAATTGGCTTGCTTGCTTGTGCTAATAAATACATGGAAGAACATGAAATGCTACAAGGAGCATGTAATAAATAGAGAGATGGGGAAAAAAGGTGAAGTTTAGTGAAATCAAATGTATCTTGCAGTCATATAACTATTTTCCGGTGATCATATACCACTAACTGACCAATACGATGCATGCCAGTAGGTAGCCAGTTCCAAGGATTTAAGTTTTCCATCTTCCACTCATTAAAATGCTGAAAAAGCAGTTGAAAAAAATGATTTTAACACTGATTAGTCCATCTGATTCTTTGTTTTTATATTTTTAAGGTATAAATGTAGGTTGTAGTCATGGGAGTTACTGTCCCAATTTATTTTTGCACAGAAGGTCAAATGAAAATCATACGGTGGCTGCATCTCTATGGACTGGTAATTATGGTTTTGGTCCAACCTAGCTGGCAGATTGTCCTCAAAGATACGTCCGATGAGTCTAGGTAAGGCAAATGACAGGCATGCTGTGTCTTGACAGTGTTGCGCTAATGCATGTAAAGATATGCGTGTGAACAACAGTTCCTATCAGAATGGTATATAGGACTTTGCATTACGGGGATTTGCCAAGGCATATCTGGTGCAGCACTTCCTTAAGAAAGCGAGATGTACTGAGACGGAGTCAGCCGCTAGGGAATATAATACAATTGACTTGTACTGTAGCTACACCTAAAAACCCCAGTCTTGTACTAGGACCCTATTGTCCGAGGCACTGCCCAAGGTTGGTCCTGCTGACTTCTCCATCCTGAAAGCTTGTGTGTAATATTAAGCCCAGAAATAGCCTTGCTATTAAACATTTGGTTTTATTTTAGTTGTTCAGCAGGATTCATTTGGGCTTAAAGATCAACGGCTGGCAGGATGCTATAGCTGCTGTGGCTGTCTGTAGACAGCTGCCCAAGGGCCATGATATTTTAGGAAATCTGCCTTGCATGCGTTTTGAGTTTGGAACAGCAGACGTGAAAGTCGGCTAATATACAAATGGCTTCAGTCACCTTGTCTACAGTGGAAGAGTGTTTCACCCACAGGAAAACAAAGCAAATATATGACCAAACTGAGTGTTTGCAAACCAGCCTGGGGCCCTATACAGCTGCTGCAAACAGCTGTATAGAGCCACTGTGGAGTGCTACCTTTGCGTGGAAAAGCAGTGCCCTTTGAAGCAAAAGCCACAGCAAGCAGCAAATCAGATAATCTTTTACTCAATAACCTGCTGTTCCTGAGGAAAGCACCTGGGCTAGCTACAGACTGTCAAAAAGCCCGAGGCTGAATCAGTCCAGTCTTCACATTAATCTAAGTGACACAGATTAAATTGAAACAGAAGTGAACAGACATTTACCTTTGATTCAGGAAATGCTGGCACATGCCTGCAGTGGCTCAAGCCAGAAGCCAGGGGAGACTACAGTCTGGCTGTGTGTTCACTTCCTCTTCCTGCTGCCCCTGAGGTCTCTGGGATTTGCAGTCCAGAATCACAGTAGCAGGACTCTGCAGGGTTGCTCATCACTTCCTCTTCCTGCTTCCAGGTGCCTCTGGGATTTGTAGTCCACAGGTACAGCCAGTAGTAAGTTTGAACAGGGGAAGGGGTGTTTAACCCCCCTGCCTAGCCCCAGACCCTAGCCGGGTTTTGCCTGGGGGGGCAGTCCCCCCACTGAAGACAGGGCTGCGTTCCCAGCTGGGCTTGCCCCCTCCCCCCACCCTCTTGTCAGCCAGCCCTCACTGCTCTGGCTAGGGAGAAGAGGAGTGAGGCCAGCCCTGCTCTTCGGAGCAGACAGCACAGCCCAGCCCAGTGCTGGAAAGCATGCTGGGATGCTGGGGGACTGTGATTTAACTTGAACCAGGAAGGGGTCTGGGACCAACGTTTCATAAACTGGTTTGACCCAAATCAGTTAAGTCTGATACTACATTCAATCAGGTTTATCTTAAACCATTTTCAGCTATTTTGAAACTGGTTTGTGTGCACTGAACAGGAAATTCTGTTACAGGTTTAAACCAGTTTCCAATCGCTTAACCCAGTTTATGTGTAATTTCTGTCCCTAGCCCTGGAGATTATGAACAAGTTGGAGACAGTCCAGTGGAGGTCAACAAAAATGGTTGGGGGGCTAGGGGACATGACATGTGAGGACAGGCTGAGGGAACTGGGCTAATTTAGTCTGCAGAAGAGACTAAGTGGGGATTTAGTAGCAGCCTTCAACTCTCTGCAGGGGGTCCGAAGAGGATGGAGCTGAACTGTTCTTGGTGGAAGCAGATAACAGAACAAGGAGCAATGGGCTCACATTGCAGCAAGGGAAGTTGAGGTTAGACATGAGGAAAAATGTTATCACTAGGAGGGTGGTGAAGCACTGGAACAGGTTATCCAGAGAGGTGGTGGACTCTCCATCCTTGGAGGTTTTTAAGGCCCAGCTCAGCAAAGCGCTGGTTGGGATGATGTAGTGGGGGTTGGTTCTGCTTGGAGCAAGGGGTTGGACTAGATGTGACCTCCTGAGGTCCCTTCATTTTCTCTGATTCTATGACATGAATCTCCTGGGTTCTATTGTACTATGAAGACAGACAGACCCTGCCCTGAAAAAGTTGCAGCCTAAACAGATCCATCAAAGCAACTTACTTTGATTCAGACCACAGAGCAGTGGGAGAACCAGAACGTGGGCCTCTGGTCATGTCCTATTCATTAGACAGTCGAACCTCTTCCCAGAGTAATGAGCAACTCTCTCTCTCAAACAGATGGCAATCTTATGAATCCAAAAGTGCCCAGAGTTTTATGTCCAACATTAAGCGACACTCCGAAGGCACCTTCACAAGCGATTTTACTAGATATCTGGATAAGATGAAGGCCAAGGACTTTGTGCATTGGCTTATCAACACGAAGCGATACAGGTATGAGTAGAGCATGGGAGTATGGCTGAAACAGTAGAACATCGATGTGCTTCTAGGTAAACTCCTGGAAATGAACTAATTTAAGGGTAGGGGTGGAGGAGTGCAAGACCGGGTGAAATTTTTTTGCCAAACTTTCACAGTGGAAAAAATAGGCTTTGAACTAAATGGAATCTCTCATAAAAAGTGTCTGATATGTGCAACCCCCCCCCCCCAAAAAAAA